CTACTGCTACTGCTACTACGATGACGACGAACTACTGAGGAAAGAACCTAAGCGGCTTGTCGCGCTGGGCCGTGGTTTGTAAGATTTCACGATCCGACTCTGAAGCGAGGCCTGACCTGGTTAAGGGGTGGCTTCTTCGACTTCAGGGATCCGTGCATTGGGGTTCCGTGTCTCCTGAAAACCCCACACAAGAGCACTCACTCCGCTCTGCCTGACGCTTCACCGGCGGCAAACGGGCTGCCATGGCAATTCCGGATGTCTTAAGGGACCACGAGCTATCGACAACTGCGGGTGCAAGAAAGCTGCGGTCGACAACGCAAGTCAGTGCAACCCATTGGGTTTAGGGCTTTTGCGTTTGGTTTGGGTGCACTCTCAGTAAAGGATGCGACGTGGTGGCTGCCTTCTCACGAGACGTGCGACAGGCAGGGACGGGGAGAAACGAGGGAAATAGCCGCTCGAGCGGAGAAGAAGGATGCAGGGGAACGAGGGCAGACAGCACAAAGCTAGGCAACACTGACTAGGAACAGGACGTGTGCTCAAGCTAAGAATGCTACGGTAGTGTCGACTGTAGGATACCTTTCGAGCAAGCATGCCGCGACTTGAAAACTGTATGCTGTATGCAGAGCGAGGAATTGGAACGTGCCGGAGTGTTTTGCTCTGTTGGACGTGGACCATCTGGCCGGCTTTTTGAAATTGGACCTGCGTTCACGGGACAGCTGGTTCTTGCTCTCGGTGGCCCGCAGGCAGAAGCAGAAAGTCTCTTGCCTGACCTTCAAAGTATTTCTGGAGTATCAAGTGGTTAATATAGCTATAAGTAGTCTCCGGCGTCCCATACCACTTCTACATTTTCTTATGAATCCTTTGGGCTTCAATGATCCATTGAATGCCTGCATGTACAACAGCAGTAAACACTGTGACAGCAACCCTTCAGCGCTACAGCCCCACACTTGCCCTCCATAAACTGGAAGTCCCTACAGTAAACCCTTATCCCAAACACACGCCAACCCTCAGGGCCTCGACTCCAAACCCTATAAAACCTTGTTCGCTACTGGACTCAAGTCTAGTACCAAACCACGACCCTAAACCCCGCAACTTCCCGAAGCCAGGGCGCGTCGAGTGAAGTGGTCGTGCGCTGCTTCGCCCCGGACTCCAGGAGGCGGCCTATGAGAACCACCTCGGCTGGGGAAGCTTCGGCGCTCACACCCGGACAACGCAGGACTTCGGATTCAGGGAGGGCCCTGCGGCTGTTTTGGGAGGCTGAGGACTATGCTCACACGCGTGTGGGTTCGAGAGTCTGTGCAGGTTTAGAGTTTAGGGTTGGTATGCTACTTGTAATATAGGGTTGAGGCGTTTAGGAGGTCACCTTCCGAGTCAGGTGCCAGCAAGGAATACGTTAAATTCGAACCATTTACACACTCCGGACCCAGCAAATCACCGCTCGATCACTCAGCTCACCAACTCAGTCAATCTCGTCAGCAGGCCATTACAGCTCGCATCAGCACTCACGCAGCCAAGATTTGGGCTGTAAAGGTTTGAGATATGGATCCGGGATAAGATGCAATAGACATGGCAGACATGGAAATGTCTGTCGTCGCTGGCTATCACTACTCACTACTATAGTTACTATAGATCCTTCAAGACTACTGCATTACACACGCCACAACAGTCCTTTCTGAAAGTTTTAGGGCTCAGACTCAGGGTATGTTGGGCTTCAAGGGCTATCAGCAGTTAAGGGATATTTGGCGTGATCTACGCTGTATGAGACCGACTTTCTGGCTTGAACGTGCCTTGTGAGGTTCAGGATCTCGAAGGCTTTCGGAAGGTTGCAAGTCTGAAGAAACCGGCGTGATCTTCCCTCGGCATCTTTGAGTGTGAAGCAAACTGCATATCCGCCATCGGGAGCCCCACTGCCCTTCAAAGCAAGCTGCGGTGACCAAAGTACAGGGTGTCTCGAAGAAGTGTGGTGGAGGCTCCTCGCAGAGATGGTTTGCTTATAGAAGGGCTTCGTAGACTTTCGCATGAGTGGCTGGATCAGACCTGCAGTGTCAACTGAAGCAAAGCATTTGGGCTGCAGCCGTTTGCCATTTTACAGGAGTGGTTCAGGCACCCATCACGTCATTGAGCCCAGAGAAAAACTCAAGCAGCCATCACTCCCATATGCAGGCATCTTTTCATCAACCTCTAAACCGTCGACTATTGCCCCTAAACCCTTAATATCAGGGCCTTAAAACTTACAATTGAAATATAGTTTTGGTGTAACGAGGAACCTTACAAGGAACTTGTAAGGAATAGTTCTTTGGGAATTAGTCATAGGCCCCATAGTAGTTCCTTTTTGGGGTTCATATTTAGAATCCTATAATTTAATCCCAAAAAGGATCTACTATGGGGCCTATGGGTAGTCCGGCTTCGATGTTACCTTCAATTTGGGCGGCCTCCTGGGTCTCTCCAGAAATCGCAAAGACGATGGCCAACGCCTGCACCGCAGGTGGCCAGAGTCCGAAAGTCTGAAAATCTCTGCCCACCAAGAATGCACATAAGTCCAGAATGAATGTGTGTGTGTGTGTATGATAAATCATACACACATATTCTTGTACGCAGAAGGGAGCACGTACATACCCCGTCTAGACATAAACACAAGGATACATACCACATACCCTAACAGGTCTTGCATGGTCTTGCGCGGCTTTCCGCTGTTGACTGCTTTCTGCCCGGCTATGCAACAAGGCAAGTTTCTGGATCATGCAGCGAGAGAAAGTCTCGTGTCAACAGATGCAGTTGGCGAGCGCACATACTGGACGCACGGATAATCTGGGCACGTTCACATTTCAGGTAAATGGCAGCATGTGGGTTTCCACGATTTTGGGCTAGCCCGAACCCAACTACGCGCACACCTAACATGATGCTCAAAAGCTCCCCTTGCATGCATGGTATAGCGCAGGAAGCATCACCGTATGCTCGAGGCTTCAATGCCAAAAAAATCAGCAGCTACGGCCACTATTCGCGTCCCAACAGATATCGGAGAGCAGAAGCTTCCGAAGTCAGAATTCCTGAAGGATTTCAGAAAAACTTCGTGCACCAAGGAGCCATCATAAAGGTGGAGTAGCCATAGGCAAGGCCTCATGCACACGTGGATGACCCTTGCACTGCACTCTAAGCACGAACACCTCTGACCGATGCAACTGTCACAAACATGCTGCTTGCCCAGAGCTTGTCTCCTTCGCGTCTACCTTTGTGTGCAAAACCGGCTTAGGCATCAACTCGGACTCTGTAGGCGGATGCAATGGGAGGAGGGAGCAAAACAGGGTCTGGCCAGTCATGCCCTGTAGTTTGCCGTTTCTTTCATGATTGCGCCTACGGTTGCACAGCCCCACAAACGAAACTTGTGGACTTAATGAAACACATGCACACAAACAGGCCAGGCCTCAAAAGGCACGACACATAAAATTCATATGGGCGCAAAAAACTACCATGTGGGATGGATCACCTTCCCCAAGCACCGGATTGCGAAGGCGGCATAGCTGGTTCTACAACGCTGAGGTGCATGTTGCCGTGGAGATGAGCACGTCCATGTTCCTCAGCATCGAGACCAAACTCTGAGACCTAGCCAGCTGGCGATTGATCCTGAATGGGTTTTGGTTGAGGCGGATCTGCTTGCCAAATCTGTACTTGTGTCCTCTCCGGTCAAGCCACGGTGAGCGCCTCTTGAGAGCACGCCGTGCTGCTTGGTGAAACCTTCCACTGATGTCGGTGCAACTGACGGAAAGTATCGCAAAGCTCTGCTCTGGCTGCTGCGGTTTGGGACGTCTCGGCAGGCTCATGGGCAGTCGACTCTCTGGACTTCGGGCTTAAAACTTGTGTATCTCAGCTGTTGGGGCATCTAAATGTTACTGGAGTGAAGGACGGCGCAGATGGGTGACGCGGAGAATAGCAAAATCACCAGTGTAGCTGCGTTGATTGTTACCCCTCCCCCTGCCTTTGCGGCCTTTTTGGAGACTTCAGGTTTCCGTCTGTGACTCTGAAGGATCTTTTGCAGAGTGATGCAGAGTCTATAAGCCGGTCTATGATCGAGGCCTTATGGTAGACATTAGGTTTTTCCTTTGCGGATGTCAGAGTGGTCAGCAACTCCGAAAACCACGGCCTCTCAATCTTGCGACTTCATGTCGACTGACTCCCTGTAATGGGCACTTCTACTCTCGTCACCACCACTCCGCGCAGTACCTTGCCCCAACCAGCTGGTGCAGTTTCGGTTCGAAGCACTCAAGCCTTGCGATTCGAAGTTCAGCACATCACTCCTCTCATGAAGCACCCTATAGAATTAGGTTATAGTGTAGCGGCAGCGGCCATGGCTCTCGAACTCTTTTCAACAACACTTAATTGACCCGCAAGACTTCGAGGAGAATGCCACTGGCCTCTTGGCTGCACAGCCTCAGCTGTTGGTGCAGGCAGATGGTGTTGAGATGGGGAAAGTGGGATGGGGATGGAGTCCATCCCAGTGTCTGGGGGTGCAAATGTCCAAAGCTTTGTCCGAGAGTTGTGTCAAGGTCTTGTGAAACTCCCCATACCGTGCAGTCCCACAGAATCTCACCAATTCCAGCTGGCAACATTGCACGGGTGTCGCGAGCGCAAACAGCAGAAGCGTCCTGAGCTTCGCTCGGCTGTTGAAGCTTAAGTCTTCGTTGATGCTCACACTTTATGCTAAGCCTCAAACCTACTGCCATATCCACAAACTATTGATCCTGAAAGCCCTAAACCCAACAATACACCTCAGATAGAAGGAAGCTGGCGAAATGAACCCCCACAGGAACCCCTTGCCCTCTAGCACCACCAGACCGAGGGGCTCTGCATGAAGCCCCGGGATGCCACAGGAGAAGCGCAGTAGCTGCGATGAGCCGGTCAGCGGCAGCAGGAAGACGACCTCAATCGGGATCCGACAGTGCATTTCGAGCGGCAGGGGGATTTTCTCCGAAAAGGGTTTAGGGTTTAGGGTTTAGGGTTCGGGGGATGAACTAGAGAGTCTAGCTCTTGGAGCTTCGGAGTCCGGGGTTCAGAAGCTTGGGTTCGGGGCTTTAGGCTTTAGGACTCATCGGCTTTCGAGTTTGAGTCTAAAGTAGAAGCCTTAAAGTTGGAGCATCATGGTCCTGGCGCCCTAAGGGGTAAGGCAGAAGGGATCCTAACACTGATCCTCCCAAATCCATGTTCCAACCTTCTGGGCTTCACTAGAGAGTCTGTTGCAGGTGTCTTTTTTGGATTTTAAAGCTTCAGGGGTTGAATCGGGTGAACGATCTCGGGCATACGAAAACAACATCTTCCTACAGCAGTCTCTCTCTATCCGCTGGACGGGGCCGGACTCGGAAGTTCATCGATCTGGCTGGCCAACTGGGCTTTCAAGGGCGATGCGCAAAGGAGAGTCGAAGAACATAAACAACATCTCTCCCTTTGTAAACAAACAGCACCCATCGGCCGACATGTCTGGAGCAAGCTGAGTAGGCTGTCGACTGTAAGGATCAGAAGTGTTGGAGGCAGCGCGCAGCGCAAATCACCGAGCAAGGAGCGATCTCCAGCCGTTGCCTTCCATCTGTCGAACTGCTTTAAGGACAGTATGAATAGGGGGATTCTTGCAAAATGTCCAGACCCCGGAGAATCTTCCCTACACATTTCCAGGCATGCTCTTGTGTGTCGGCGTTCCTATGCGTGCACATGGACACAACTGCGTGTGCACATGTGCACGCGGCTGGGAATGGGTGGAGAAAGTACATGACATGTGTCTGACTCGGCGGTTTCATTGATAACACAAGATGCACCATCCTTTCGGCTTTGGTGCGAGCCGCTAAATGTTCGTTTATTGTGTACGTGGCAAAAGCCTGCCACAACTATGATCTGCGAATATCCGCGACTCCTCTCCTGGGGATCACTGCGTTTTTAGCTCCAAGGCATGCCGTGTAGCTTGACATGCTCTTCCTCCTCTAGTCGAAATTTCTCATCGTGATTACGACTACAATTCCGCTTTCAACTCCTCCTCTCGTCGTCCTCCTCCGCCTCTCCACCTCCTCCTGCTATTTGATTGATTTTGTTTGCATATGTAGATGTTTATCCAATTATCTGGTTGTTTGGCATCTGTGCAAATACTCACGTACTACTTTCATATGAGGGCTTATGACGGGATACTTCTCAATGCTAGCTGCTGAAGCATGCTGAAACTCTGGCCTGGACGTCTCCTGCTTCCGCCAGCTCGAGGGCAAATCCCTGCTTCCTGGGGCATCGGAGTTTCCCCAAGGGCTCTGAACCCGACTCCTAACCCAAGTATAAGGTATCCTCGCACTAACATATAGGGGCCTTAGTAGTATAGTACCCCAATCTGCGGCCCAGTCTCTGAAGCGAAGAGAGCAAGTCTCTCGGGTTCAGCTTCTCGGGCCTCAAGGCTAAGCACGGGGCTTGGCAAGGCTTATTCTGGCGATGAACGTCTCGGCTTATTTAGGGTTTTTTTTTTGCACGACCCTTTTCCCCTCGCCGAGTGTTTAGGGTTTAGGGTTTAGGCTTATTGGGCGTTGGGATGGGGGCATAGGATGTCTCAGAGCTTTCGGCTTTGGGTTCTCGTGGATCCCTAAACCAAACCCCAACTCACCTACACTGCTAGGGGAACGGGCGACACCATAATTACCCCTGGGGGTGGGACAGGGGGGCTGCACCGTTAAATCATTTTCCCGGAACCAGGCAAGCCCTCAGGCCCACTGCCGAAACCGAAGCTACACGAAACCACAGACCTGGATGGCGCAGAGGCCCGCACCAAGACTTGGTGCAGAGGCGGAGGGTTTGGGGTTCAAGCGGGTGGGAGACCCCGGATCTCGTTATGGTGAGATATCAACGCCGTGGATTGCAAAAGTGGAGACATGAAACATCAGAGCTGCAAATTCAAATAAATCAACTACATGCAAACTCTTGTTTATTGCTTCTCGCGTGTTGGCATACAAGCTGCCAGCGAATTCGGAACATCACCTGCCGATGATGCAACTGGTACTGTGATACTTCGACATGGATGCGAGGTGCGTCATTATGCGAAAGAGCTCCCGACACACCGACACGCACCCGGACGCGTAACTAGCGCTACCATGATTCTACAGCACAAAGACGAATCAGCCCTGTCCGCACCGAGCATTTTTCTTCTGCGATCTGCCAAATAAGCTGAACTGATAGTGGCGCCAACATCAGACGACCAGCGATCACAAAACTTGCGGTTGCTTTGCTTGGCCTCGCTTGTGAGACAGGTGGGTAGCCTGAACCATTCGTGGACGAGCTACCATACTCTCTTCACCAAATCTTGATCCATTGTATACCCTTACATACATGAATGCGACACCTTTCAATTTTCTGAGTGTTTACGAAACCTGCGCTTCAGGTCCGAACCTCGGCAAGAAGTGCCAAGCAATGCCGCGAAGCCACGAGCTGGTGGATTGCATGTAGCGATGTACGTAACAGGGCAGACCCAAAGTCTCCAACGCTCAAGCTTAAGGACTTCGCTATACTTAGGGCTCATGGTGTGTATATACAAAATAAATTTAGAGTATACGCTATATAACTCAAATGTTAAAACCAAGGGTCCTTCTATGTTTTAAAGATATCTTGCGGCTTGAGGGGCTTTGGAGTCTCTGGGGAAGCGACCGCCCGGCTTCGCAAGATCCATGTGGCACTTGAACGTTTAATGAAATAAGATGAACTAAGCCACACCAAAGATCCCCACATGACTCAAACCGACGAAATACATGACTCAAACTGACTAAATAGTTGATTGCAGCGGCTCGTGCATGCTGTGCTCGCCGGGCCTGCTTTTTGCGATCACAACATGGTCGGAAGGGCTCTCACTGGATCCTGCGACCGAACCCTCTGCCAGAACATCCCCAAATTTTCCGGAACCGGCATGTGCAAAGGCACAGACATGTGAGAGATCTCACTGGGAACAAAACGGTATCGTCCGAAAGCAGATACCAGAAAATCATATGTTCAGCTTCAAAATCGGGCGAGTTCTGCCAATTGAAAGCACCGTCCCCAGAAGACAAACACGCATTGAGAAACACAGCGATTCTGTACATGCGCTACTTGGTGCCATCCTCCAAGGACTCTCGGTCTACTCTTACTGCTCACAGGCAGAGCAGTGTCACACCAGCAGCAATGCTGAAGAGAAGTTTCCTCGGTTTCAGACAACTCTGACTTTATACTAATGCAAAACCGTAATGCAAAATCGCCAGCCTAGTTCGGGGATGTTCAGGTCGCAGAGCTTACCTGTCCGTGCTTGCTTCTCCATCTCCTTCTCTTCTTCTCCCAAGCTGAAGGGGCGAGTTAGGCCTCCCGAAACATCAGGCGCACCCGCTGATTTGCGGGGATCTTTGCGAGGGGGTGAGAACTTTTCTCTATCTCTCTCTCTCTCTCTTCTCCCCTCCCTCTCCAACTCGTTGCTTCGGTTCTGCTTTTCGAAAGCCTCATCACTGGCCAAGCGGCTTCCTCCCCGACAAGTTCTCCCCGAAGAACAGCGCGCCGAAACTTAGACAGGCGCAGGCTGCCGGTACCAATCCCTATACATGTCTGTCACTCGGGGTGCCTGTGGGTTCCTTAACTGATGATTCTGCACACGTAGGACTCCTGTCATAGAGGCTGCAATGACGGAATCCGTGAACAAAGAGAGCACGTCGGAACTGATGGCAAGGTGCAGCGCTGAGACAACGATGCCTCAGCTGTTGAGGTTCAGGGCTTCGAGCTTGGAGATGGTTCGAGGCTAGCATAAACCACGGCCGCCCAAGCAGATCACAAGGCTGCTCTTTCAGCTAGCCAACAAATGAGGCGCTGGTGACAACGAGGCCCCAGTCTGAGCAATGCTGAAGCGCAAAGCAGACGATGACTTTCCGATCATGCGAGCGAAATACCGATACTATGCCTGTAGGCCGGCATGTGTGACAAGGTTTCATGAGGCTCGCCGCTGTTTCAAGCCGAGAAACATGCCAAAACCACAAACAAAGGGTTTGTAAGGGCACTTAGGTACCATACTCATACGGGTAGCTTCAAGGCAGTTCGAAGGGTTCCTCTAAAGGTGCTACAAGGGCTCCGTTAAGGCCACGCATGCTGCAAACGTTATAAAGGTCCTCGGCTTTGTCACCATTCTGGCTTCCTGACTTGGTTTAGTACCAGGTTTCGGATTTACTAATTAGATGATTAGGGTTCCGCAAGCTTTACTGCTCTTCGGCTTCCGGAACCCCTTCGGACATGCAGCCCCCACCACGCTTGACGGCGGAGACCAGGACGGGCGAGATCAAGGACACGGCCTGCCGAGAGCTCAGGGCTTAGAGGGCCATTAAACCCTTTCCCACTTTGTCTTAGCAGCCCTCGGCTCGAGCGATCCAGAGGCACTACGAGCAGTGGCCTTTCCCATGTGACGGGGCGCGGGGCGCTTTTAGTGTATGTGCCTCTCTTTTTTTCGAATAGGTTTTTGGGTATATTATACTATAACCATAATAAAAAACCAAAAGAGTATTGGTAATTATTAGGGTACGGGCGCATAGGTTGCCCTGTTTGGTTCGTGCTTAGAATGTGCGCGAAACTGGGTTTTAGCGTGATTTCTACAAACAACAGGTTTATAGGCCATCACGGAAACTAATTGCATTTTGACGATGACCAATATCATCAGCAGCAACATCAGCATCATC